TGGATTGCACTTTGATGCCCGCCTCTTGTCTGCGCATCTCCTCTGCTGCCTGCATCTTTCGCATAGCGCACAGAGCAAAAGGCACCCAAATCGAAGACTGAGTGCTGCATGTGCTGTTGCCCATGATACCTCCTGTCTCTGCCGCTCCTCCTCCTCCAAGCGTGAGCGCTCCTGCGTCGGCGATACTACGAGGAAGGATGCTGGTAAGTACTGTTCTTGACCTCCACTGTTGGCTGCCCAGTGACCAGCACTTGTTAAGTTGCGGTACTCACAGGTGCCTCTTCCTCAGCGCGTGCCTTCTCAAGGGCCTCCTCTTCCTGCGAAAACCATCAGTCAGGAACCGTGACGGGTTTGGTGACTATGCGAGATCGACGATGTCACTGCACAGCACGCGCCTCTCGTCGTCGCCTTTCTTCCTCCAATCGTGCCCTCTCCTGCATACAAAGCATGGCTCCTGACTTGCTCCTGTCCGAAACCTGTGGACATTGACACAAACGAATAGCACACCTACTGCCCGCCTCTTGTCTGCGCATCTCCTCGGCTGCCTGCATCTTTCGCATGCTTCAAGCTGCACGAAACCACCATGTGGGAGAGTAAATGTTGCTGTGCTGTCATCAACCTTTTGCTGTCGTGGCACCTCCTGTCTCTGTCGCTGCTCCTCCAAGCGCGTGCACTCCTGCATCTCCAGCCGTTGAACCGTCGGGGCATCAGAAGCAACTTTATTTTGTGCACCTCCGAAGCCGCACCACATGTGTGGGCACGAGGCTACCGAATTTCATCGTTGCATAATTTTCTCATGTGTTTTTTCCCCATTTCATTGCACTCGGGGGTCAGCTAAAACGACGGCAAACCTGCTTGGTACGCTTAACAAACGCGTGAAAGGCTGCGAAACCATGGGAGCTCACAAGGGGCCCACCCGAAATGCTGTAAAAACTAAGGGAGTCCACGAAAAGCCCTGAAATGCTGGGAGGTGGGGGGTGGGTCCTGCGTCAAGTGTCCCAAAGAGAATGCTTCACGGTACCAGCTTTGCACATGCTCACCTCCCTTGTTCACTTGTCTACAAGTCTTTACTTTCTATTGGCAGAATCTGTTTTGGTTTGTCTTAGATCAGAAGGCCGGCTCCGGTTCTGATCGAGGAAGCAGTACAAGGCCGAAAAAAAAACGTCCGCGCGACAGCATCACATCACTACAGACGGCTTGCTGCCCGCCTCTTGTTCTGCACGAGCATTCGCTAGGGCCTCCTCTTCCTGCGAGCACAGGAGCAAGGAACAAACCCGGTGCTCAGGATGTCTGCTGCGCACCTCCTGACGAATCCTTTCTTCCTCCAATCGCTCTCGCTCCTGCTGCAGAAGCGCTGCTCACTCCAGCATTCTTCAGCCCAACGGTCGGATTTCTGTGGAATATAGATGCTAGGCCATCTCTCCGATATCCCCGTGTACCAGCAGAGCGCGTGCGACCGCAGCTTACGAAACACTCTTCCACTCTTCCAAAGAGCATTTTCGTGACAGCCCGCTGTGACGCGTGAATCCACACACTGACGAAAGGGTCATGATTTTGCAGATCGTGCTACAACTGAAAAAACGGCTGGAAGAACTTACGGCAGTGCCCGCGACCGCCTGTGCCCTCTGAAGTGCTTCCTCTTCCTGCTTCGTGTAGTTTAACGTAGTTTAATGATTGAATGTGGTACAGTCGCTTCTTCATCCCTACTAAGACTACCATGACGTGGCAGTGCACCTCTCGTCGTCGTTTCTGATATGCCCGCAGACGTGATCACAGACCCGAACATGCCCCAACAACAAACATCAACGAACCCCTCGCGCAAGATCCTCCTGCTTACGCTGTGACTCTTCTGCATCGCGGGCTTCGCACTTTCTCCCCGCCTGTTGTCTGTGCATCTCCGCTGCTGCCTGCAACTCTGCAACAGCAAGCATCTCACAACACTTGCACTTGCACGCACCACTTACCACCAAGACGGCGCCGCCTCTGCGCGGGCCCTCTCCAATGCCGCTTCCTCCTGCCACACAGAGCTAGCGACAGCTGAGCATCTGCAGATAAGCCGGAAGCTTCTACAATAGACAGAAATTGCTTTTCTGCACAGTTTGCACCTCTTGTCTTTGACGTTCCTCTTCCTCCTCCAAGCGTGC